GAGGTGGACGGTGGAGTAAGTGATGTGGACGGTGGGGTACGTAAGGTGGACGGCGGGGTACGTAAGGGCACGTGAGGTGGAGGGTGGGGTACGTGAGGTGGACGGTGGGGTACGTAAGGTGGACGGTGGGGTACGTAAGGTGGACGACGGGGTACGTAAGGGCACGTGAGGCGGTTAGTTGAGTATGTTTCGAGGACGTGATAAAGTAGACTGAGCGCTAAGAGGACATGTGTATATACGAAGGTAGATGAGTATGCCTGAGGGTAGATATGAGGGTATGTGAGGGTAGTTGTGTGTATACATGGTGCAAGCGATGGTATGTGAGTTATTAAATTGGTATGCGGAAATAAACGATAAATACGAGAATTAGAGCTGTGGGGCGGTAGACGGTGGTTAGGATAAGTAGAATGTTATATGTAATCAACACTTCCTATCATCCGGCGCACTTTTTTTACCAAGTGTGCCGCCACACGCATGCTATGCGCACAAAAGTCTCGGTTGATGCGTACAAATGCCGCGGTCCATTTAGACGCATGTTGCGTGTGCATTTTTACGCATTGCGTTACATGCACGTCATCGTATGCGTAGAATGCGTGCGCATAGCATGTGCATTTATACAGAGTCTGCGTTTATGTAGAGGATTTAATCACGAACAATTTACGCTTACATTATGTCTGTGCCTGTGCATCACCTGCACTTATGTCGAGTCTTTATTCGCGCAACGTACAGAAATAATCGTATTTTGTTCAGTAATTTTGAAATATTTCAATTCGATTTATAAAAATACAAATTGTAGTTGGTTGGTCGACCTAAGGATTTCGGAAGCGTTTGCAGACATTGGAGATTGGGGCTTGCCGTTCAGAAAGTTAATAATAATGTTTAATTCGAGAATGGCTTGGGACTCCTGCCTTACATTGCCTACATGGAATTAGTTTAATTATTTAATTATGCGCACCATCATGTCCTTATGTCATTAGTAGTCTCACTTCTAACCACTAACTACTACCATTAATTGTCCACGCAATAGTTAACAGCCACTGTCGAATTTGTCTTAATATTATGAGTTAATTTCTTGTTTAATATTTATAATGAATTAGTTGAGTATAATTGTATAGACTCAAGACCTGAGTCGTTACTTCCTGTAATTTTTTTAAGTGAAATTTCGGGGGAAACTTTACATGGAATGTTGCTGCAATTCTACGCTGGTGTAACTTGTGTGCAATTCTACGCTGGTGTAACTTGTGTGCAATTCTACGCTGGTGTAACTTGTGTGCAATTCTACGCTGGTGTAACTCAGAATTCTGTCGGGTTAAAATTTTTCTATGTAATTGCTTTGCTATTTGCGTTATTGCCATGTTTCATATCTTGTGACATTACATTATTTTTTGTACTTCATCACAATCGCGAGTATTTTCAATGTACATGACCTAGACGTCTTTACTATGACCTGCAATAATGCACATGTTTCCATTATCGTTATCCTCGATGTCTATCACAAATCTTGGCTACCTCGGCCCTTTGTCTACCTAAATTGAAAAATCTGAATTTTGTGTACTATCTTTTCGGTAATTTCAACCCATTTTCAGGCTATTTTTCAACCAATTTTGAGGATATTTTTATCTCAATTGTAAACTTCACGTTTGCACCTGCACAAACCAGCAATTTCTTGCCCATTTAATGTTAAATTAATTATAGAAGTTAAACAATTGCTAACGTTAGTTAATCAGTTAACTTCGCGGTCAAATGGCAGTTAACTGATCCTTTAAATATCAACTATTATAAAATTAAACAGTTCGCCATCTTATTTTGTATTTCGGGCCCGTGGCCCCTCTTTTGTCGGGCACGTGGCCCCTCTTTTGTCGGGCACGTGGCCCCTCTTTTGTCGGGCACGTGGCCCCTCTTTTGTCGGGCACGTGGCCCCTCTTCTGTCGGGCACGTGGCTCCTCTTTTGTCGGGCCCGTGGCCCGTATTTTGTCGGGCACGTGGCTCCTCTTCTGTCGGGCACGTGGCCCGTCTTTTGTCGGGCACATGTACGGCTCATATACATGCATCAATTGGTGTTTTATGACACACTTATATCTAGGCAAGTGGGTCACAAAAATTGAACTCTGACCAATGCATCGTAGTGCGCAGGTTTTGCTACTTTCATTGAAATATAACAAAGGAAGGCACGAGTCTACTGTTCATTATCCTACTTCTACGTTGTTACTTCTACGTTACTTAACATCCACGATGGAGAGTAAGTGTGTATCGTTTGCTAATTCTCATTGAAAAAATAGATGAGCGAAGTGTAGTGTATAGAAATCGATAGTTTTATTTTTGAATAACCCATATTTTTCCTTGGAATTGGGCGACATCGCTTAATAAATTTACGTCGCGTGAATATTAAGTCCTTAGTCATTAATTTCCTTCAAGCTCTATGTTTTTAAAACGGTTTCTTTTTTATTTTCTGGACAATTTTTATAATATGCATTATTTCTTCTTAGGTGACAATTATTGATAAGATTTGCTTATCAACAGATCCTTTAGTTGTCATAATTATTATTGCTTTATTCATACTTTGTAGCGTATATCTAATCAAGAGTTGCCAGTAACCATTCGATAAAACTCATTTGATCGAATCCACTTAAATTGCAATCTCAGTGCATTTTACGTCCGTCTCAATCCTCGCTCTGTGTGTTTGCCCCCATATTTGAATCTGTGACAAGATAAACACGATGCGTGCTGGCAACAGTGATCAATGTATAGCCCTGGGCCAAATTCCTTACAATAAACTTAGGATGATACGAGGACATGTAATAATCAACAGGATGCGGAGCCTACGCATGAATAGTCGCCGTCCGACCAACGCCAGCTTCACCCCAAGGTGAAGCTACGTCGCGTGTACACGTGTATAGTTGAAATAAACTTCATTTGTCATGAAATTACTGTGTTCGGGAGTTTCGTAACGCTTCTTTGTGTCTCATGATTGTGCTTCTGAATCAATGCATTAATTTATCGCACGAATACATAAACGAAAAATTAACAGTCATACTCGTCTCTATTATTAGTTGCTTATAGCAATTTATTTATTAATAATATATTTTTTTTATTTTAATAATTTGCATTAAATTTAAAAAACAGCGAACAGACAAGACTAACATGGAATAATAAATAATAACAAATTACTACTTCCGTTAACAAAATGTCACAATTGAAACCGTAAAATACGTTTTCTTTGATGAACAAACGTACACAGAAAATTTCTCGGGCTGACTACACAAGATCTGGGAGGGACAGCAACAGCCTGTTGCTGCTGTGGTCGATATCTGCTCTCAGCTCTCTGAATCCTTCTCTCCGTAGAGAGCTTTGAGTCTCTTGCAATCCTCTTCTACCTTCAAATTCTAGTTCAGTGTTATAATTATTGTATTGTTCTCATGAGTTATATGTAATGGAACTCGCGTCTTGGCGACACTCTATATACCTATATATTTACATGACGTAATTTCGATCCATGTCGCACATTCGGCTGATAATTTTCGATGGCGCAAATCGGAAATCCTGGGAGGAAAAATTGTTCACGAATGGATGAAGAGGAACCAAGGACAAATTACTTTCTTGGATGATGCACTTAGCGGAGAGATTCTCAATTTGTCAATATTCATAAAAACAGTTTGAGTGTCGAGGAGGAAATCTAATAAAATAATCTATTCGTTTACGACAAAAAGTTTCCACCAAACAGGCAGAATGATCGAAAGGCAATCTGCTAAACAGGAAATTTGATGCCTGGTTAATTCACAGAGCAATAATGCCGAAGGATGGACACTTATCCATAGAATATGTGGATGTGAGGGACATTGTCAACTGAACACAGCTGGCAACGAAGAGAGCGGCGCGGCTTCAGTGAAGTGAGTGAACAGCGAACAGTGATGGCCTGGCCGTCATAGTGTGAGGTGGTGTCGAAATCGTCTTTCTGAACGCACACTTCCCCATGTTATAAAGCGAAAATAAATAAAAATTATGATCGATTGATTGCGATGAATTTCGAGTTTGGCTGATAAACTTTGTAAAGGAACAAAAGTTTGGGCGAAGAGATTGTTACAAATCTTCATGTGATGCATTAGGTATAACTTTAGTGTAGGTATATAGATTAACCTCCATACCTCACACGACCTTCTATCCCTCGCACGACCTTCTATCCCTCACACGACACTTCTATACCTCACACGACCCTCTATCCCTCACACGACCCTCTATCCCTCACACGACCGTCTATCCCTCACACGACCCTCTATCCCTCACACGACCCTCTATCCCTCACACGACCCTCTATCCCTCACACGACCCTNTATCACCACCACTCACGCGCCTTCACCACCGCCACTCACGCACCCCTATCACCACCACTCACGCGCCTTCACCACCGCCACTCACGCACCCCTATCACCGCCATTCACGCACCCCTATCACCACCACTCACGCTGTCGTGAGTGGTTCACTGTGTCCAGTACAGTGCGTCACTGTGCGTCATTTCCGCACGTCTTCTCCTCAATAAGTTACCGCCCTCTAGCAGCGCTTCATTAGCTGCGTAATGGCAGGCAGAAGGCTAGGGCATGAATAATGAATATATTATGAAATAATTTATTTGGCAGTATAGAAATATATTATAATCGCTATTTAATAATCTGAATGAAATTTGGCTTTCAATGGGGTGAGGAAGCCGTTTAATTGTCCACAGATAAATAAGTTTCTTCTATCATGGTGAAGTAATGTGATAATTCACATGCGTTTTTATTATGAAGTCATGCGCATGAGATAAATGGTTGCGATGTCGGTGAGAAACAAAGCTGAACGTTCATTCCACTATACGTGGAAATTTGTTATGTAATTAATGAGATAAACTTGAGACACAGAGTGGATAAAACTGAAAAAAGGATAAGTAGTGCGCAGAAAAGAAGCGCGTAAAAGTGAAGCGTTGGTAGAAACAGATTTCAGTGGCCTTCTGATGGAGGTTTATTGGGAGGAGTTGAGGAGCTTGCTTGTGAAGGACTTGAAGTGGACGAAAAAAAAGTTCCTGCAAGTTGAACATTTGAGACTTGCCCCGGCTCAGTAACCGACACCACCCACTCCTGCACAGTGTGACGTGCCCACCACTGATCTGCACACTCGTCATCTCAACCTGAATCTTCACCCATCGCTCATCCATACACCCGCGACTACTCTCTTCAGCCACTTCAGCTACCACTACCACTCACCCATACACCCGCGACTACTCTCTTCAGCCACCACTCACCCATACACCCGTGACCACACTCTTTACCCACCACCAACTAACTATCTGCCATAATAATACCAACAGTCCACAACCACTACACTAACCACCCCCCCACTATCACTAACCACCCCCCACTATCACTAACCACCCCCACTATCACCCGCCCTCACCACCACCACTGCAGTAACTACCACCACCTGCACCACCATTTTCACCACCTCCATCACTCACCACCACCTCCACCACCACCACCACCACCACCAACATCACCCGCCGCCGCGATGTTTTCGGAGGCGGCGCTGCCGGCGGAGGCGCTATGCGAGGAGCCTGACTTCACGACCTTCGAGAACAGGAGCGGCCTCACGGAGGACATGAAGTTCCTGGCCTCAATGCCTGAGCTCTGCGACGTCACCTTCCTGGTGGGGGACACCCGCGAGCCTGTGTGTGCTGTCAAGGCCGTGCTGGCTGCCAGGAGCAGGTGGGTGCTGGCTGCCAGGAGCAGGTGGGTGCTGGCTGCCAGGAGCAGGTGGGTGCTGGCAGCCAGGAGCAGGTGGGTGCTGGCAGCCAGGAGCAGGTGGGTGCTGGCAGCCAGGAGCAGGTGGGTGCTGGCAGCCAGGAGCAGGTGGGTGCAAAAATAGAATACAAAGGCCAAAACAATGTTATGGTAATTATAGCGTGACCGGAGTTTTTTAATTTCAAATACAGATTCTAATATTGCATCTAACGCCTTGAATGCAATAAAGACAACGACACACATCGCCGATTTACCAGCAAACAAAACACGGTAACGAAGACTGTCTTATGACCTCAAAAACAACAACACGATAACAGAAACAGCAATACTGGACAAGCCTGGCTATAACATAACACGCTGTTCTCACAGGGTGTTCCACAAGCCCTGATCACAAGATAACACGCTGTTCTCACAGGGTGTTCCACAAGCCCTGACCACAAGATAACAAGCTGTTCTCACAGGGTGTTCCAAAAGCCCTGACCACAAGATAACACGCTGTTCTCACAGGGTGTTCCATATAAGCCCTGGCAACAAGATAACACGTTGTTCAAGGTGTTCCACAAGCCCTGACCACAAGATAACACGCTGTTCTCACAGGGTGTTCCACAAGCCCTGACAACAAGATAACACGCTGTTCTCGCTGTTCTCACATGGTGTTCCACAAGCCCCGGCAACAAGATAACACGCTGTTCTCGCTGTTCTCACATAGTGTTCCACAAGCCCCGGCAACAAGATAACACGCTGTTCTCGCTGTTCTCACATAGTGTTCCACAAGCTCCGGCAACAAGATAACACGCTGTTCTCACAGGGTGTTCCACAAGCTGCTCTACGCCGCCTACTCCCCCCAGAAAAAGAAGGAGGCCACGACGAGGGAGAACAAGATCAAGATGTTCCTGAAGAGGTCGTCGGAGCCGCTGCTCAACCTGCAGGGCTCTGGTCAGCCCAGCCGACCAGGGGTGAGCACTGCATACTTTAGGACGTCTACAAAGTAAAAAGAATTTCAATATACAAAATATTTCTGTATTATATACATACTGTTTATACACAAGGTTACATTCTTATGCACGTGTTACATTTTGTTGAAGCATTTTTATTAGTTTTTAGCGCATTTTCTCACTTATGGAAAAAATTGCCCTATTGCGCTCGTCATGTCCGTCTGTCTGTCCGTCTGTCCTTGACTTCATGTATTCGTCGACGAGCAAATTTCTTGACTCTGTCACTCACTGCAGTGAGAACTGAGTTATATTTTTTTGCTTCTATTGTTTCATATATGTTTTTTGTATTTTGATATTTTATACCGTGAGTTTGTCAAGCTCCACTGTTTACAATGTTTGTAGATCCATTATTTACATTTTTAAACAACACTGAAATCTATTATCATCTATGTAGGTCTCTGCAAGAAATTGCCTACGAAAGTTCAGGTTTAGTCTGCGATTTTTTATCAGAAAATGAAGTCATATGTCATAAATATTAGAATACCTACTGTAAGTCATACAGCTCGTTCATGCTTTTATTTTAACCTTGAAACATTAAAAATGAGAGCTCCTAGCATAGATTGTAAAGATAGATCAGCGGTAACTTCTCTACTAATATTTTCCGTAGTAATTACTGTAAAGTTTTGGAACGATTTTAGAATTTTAAATAATTTATAATCTGTTTATTCCGACTTCATTGCTATACATTTAGTGAAACCGCTTCTAGTATCGCCAGAAAGAATTCGATTCAATTCCGATGTGAATAGGAGAGTAGAACTAAGTCAACGGTAGATTGACCAATGTAATGACCAGACGTTTCAATAAAGGTCTCATTCACATTTTTACTCATCATTCATAACGAGTTGCACAGAGTGTACATTGCACAATTAAACTATTTTTCACTTCATTCCGAAAATACAAATCGTTGTCTTCGTCGAACCAAGTATTTACTTTTAGCTACAGTTCCACTTCCATGTGTACAATAATATATTTGCGTCCACCTTTAAATGACTTTATTATTTGTTAATTTATTTTAAATTAACTCCGTTCAGTTAGTCTCCCATATAGCATGTACACTTTGTACAGTACTTCAAGTCTTTTTATAATTTAACATTGTTTACCTACATCTTGATCTTGTTACTTTTTTATGAATCCCTTTTTTAAAATTTAATAAATAGCGTTAACTATTAAATTTTCATGCTGCGGGTAGTTACCGAGTTCAATGAAATGCACTAACATTTAATTTTTGTATATAAATATATAAATTCTATTTCTTCAAATTCTATCATAAATGTAATAAATTATGTTAATATTGTTGAATTACTGAGCACTTGAGATGAAAATAGATAAAACCTCCGAGCAAATTATTATTTTTGCTTTCAATGCAGTTTAAATTAAATAAAATAATGTACAGATTATTATTTCCTAAACCCCCAACGCAACGAAAAGCTTGTTTACTTACGTATAAAATATGCTAAGTTTAATACTCGACCACATCGAGAGGACGCCATGTCGGATGTTTTCTTCAACTCGCTTGTACGTCAGTCCACCCACCGTTATTTGTTCCCTTATATATATGACGCACAGAGATGAACCATCCTACTGCAAATTGATATGACTCGATTAAAATTCACTGATGCTTCTTGTTTACAACTCCCTATAACAGTAGAGTATTGTTAACCTCGTTTCAACATGTTTACAACTCACTATAACTTGATTGCAGCGCTCGGCATACTCGAACAAGTTGGACACCATCCCCGAGGTAACCCCAGCCAGTTGAACCCTCTTTTCTGAACCTTTTCAAGCCCTAATTTAATTAAACAGTTATTCCTTCAGGACAGAAGTCTTACTTTTCTCAATTCTCATTACAAATCCCAGCCAGGATATTGCCGTCTTAGCGATTGCTTCTTCTTCGTCGCTCCAGGTTCGCCTGTGGCTCTCAATAAGGTTCTGGGGTTCAGATGGGGTTCAACCCCACAAGTCCAAGCAAAGAAAACGACCATGAATATAAAACAAGGATCATCAACATGAACGTTCTTTGCGGAAAGTTCATTATTATAATAACTACTAATCAAAATCACCATTATGAATTAGCAGCTTTGTACTGAACTTCCTTGCTTGGACATCAAATTCCATCGTAATTCGCTTCTATTTATTGCATTAAACTTTTCTTCTTTAAATTATCATATATGCATCAAGTGTCCTTGTTTGCGACGTGTGAATAACGTATACCAATACACTTGCACATTGCACGACTTTGCGCACACGTAACTATCGCTTATCTAATGTATATCACTTGTCTTCGTATAAATAGCATTTCAGACATCTTCCTTCTCTAACGTTTCCCTATCGTATAACTGAATTCCCGCACTATATGCACCGCTAGACGCATCTCGTCTCCTCTAGTTCATAATTGAATGCTTCTAATATTTACCATTAACTCTTGACTGAAATCTGTCCCGTTACTTTTAGCCTGTCTTTCGTGCGCCTATAAAAGACCCATTTTCAGCTATTGAAAATTGAATAAAACGTGCTGCTTGCAGTTTACAGTGTCAACTTAGCTGTATGTGATCGTGGCGTATTTCGCGATTTTTCTGCTAGATAAATGATTAGAAATAATCTCTAGTACACTCTAAAATTGTCCTATACTGTCCGGCATCTGCTAATATCCGATAAAGTTTGATATATCCTAATAACTTTTCTTGTCTGGTCTAAAATCCAGGCCGCGGCGCTCGTAATGCAGTAGAGGCGATAATGAGCGCAGAGCGGACGGAGTTGCGCCTTCATGCAAAGAAATGAGTACGATTTGTCCACATAGAGACGCACTTATAGCAAATTTGTGGTTCATCCTGATCCAGTTTGCTCAGGATAAAAGGCGTATCATTGCTACGTGTTGAAAGTGTGTTAATATTGGGACAACGTGATCGATTCGTTTTTCTGAGTTTACGTCAACTACTTGTACTTTAAATGCAACGTCACTCTACGTAATTAATTCACGAGCTATTTTTCAAATCACCAGTGCCGCGGCCTGTAGAATTGACATCGCACTCTCTTATACCATCAAATATAATCCAATAATATAATCTTTTAAAAGTATGTGTTGCTAATGATCATCTAATATCATCCATGAATGTGAAATATCACTATATATAAAATAACATAATCTGAATTGGCTTCATATTGTAATCATGAAACATTATCTAACCCCGTTTTTCTTCGTATTTTATTTAGACTTCATCTGTCATCCTTTAACATTTCAAATCATCTCCTACCTCCACATCATCCTACCAAATTAATTAACCTTTGGTGAAATGCGCGTCTTAATTATAATTTTTCTAATTATATTCGTATATGGACAAAGTATAGTCAATTTATAGAAGATAACCGTTGTTTGAAGACATTTAGAGTTTTGGTTATTATGCTCCACCGTTACTGTGGGTACCATTAAGACAGTCAACCAAAGTTGCTGGTCTAATTCAGGCCAGGAAAAATAAGGACGGGCGCTTCACGAAGCATACGTTGTGGTTCAACAACAGAACTTTGCATGAAAGCCTATTGTCAAAGTCATCGTTCAACTGTGATAGAAGAATCCTGACAAAACATTGCACAACATCGTAGTTCGTCACGTTAACATCTTGCTGTACCATCACACTCATATCTAAAGTTCCCATGCAGCCGCAGGGCAACGTGCACCAGACGCTCATTATCGAGGAGTTTGAACCTGACGTCTTCAGGCAGCTCATAGAATACATCCACACAGGCTGTGTGACTCTGCAGCCCAGGACTCTGCTAGGTGAGGTTCTGGCAGTCCAGGAATCTTCTAAGTGAGGTTCTGTGTGGTGCACAGTCTGCAGCTCAGGGTTTTGCTGAACGAGTGCATGAGAACGACCATGCATCATGAAATTCCGTGAATTATTGTGTGTTTTGGATAAACAATATGTGTGATTGCGCTGCCTACAACCCCTTTGGGCGATTGTATGTGTCACTCTGCAGTTAGATCATAAACTGCAACGCCTCGGCTTCGAGAAGCTATGCAGCTCTAATCAGAAGCTGGGGCGGCTCTAATCAGAAGCTGGGGCAGTTTTCTATATTGTTTGAGTCATAGCAACGCCCCCGCAGGTCTCATGAACGCAGCGGACTACTACGGCCTGGACGAACTGCGGCGCGCTTGCTCAGGCTTCGTGCAGTGCTGCATCAACGTGGACACCGTGTGTGCCTTGCTGGCCTCCGCTGAGCGATACATCCAGTACAAGTGTACCAAGTCCATGGTGCAGAAGGTGAGTGCAGTTTGTCCTGTACAAGTGCACCAAGTCCATGGTGCAGAAGGTGAGTGCAGTTTGTCCTGTACAAGTGCACCAAGTCCATGGTGTAGAAGGTGAGTAAAGTTTGTCCTGTAGAAGTGCACCAAGTCCATGGTGCAGATGGCGGGTGCAGTTTGTCTAGTACAAGTGTATCAAATGTGTTGTGCTAAAGTGCAGTATGTACATAACACTGCATTTCAGTTCGCATCATTCAGTGCTACCCGTTCTTGTGCTTCATTCAACGATATAGGAGTGAACCAAGTTAATTTGGTTTCCTGTAGATCGTGGACCGAACAATTCAACTTCGGTTATGGTGCATCATGTGCAATCTATGGGCTTCCATACGCCACATCACCTTCTCCCACATAACCTTTTCCTTCCCCTCCAGGGAAGAGTACTCCGTCTTCTTCCCTCCACAACCCCTTCCGTCACCCTTGGCTTCCGCAGGTGCTGGAGTTTGTAGACGAGCACGGCAACGAGGTCTTGAACTTGGGGTCATTTACGCTGCTGCCCCAGCACGTGGTGCGCCTCATCATGGCGAGGGAGGAGCTCAAAGCGGACGAGTTCACCAAGTTCCAGGTGGGTTTATGGGAGCCTGACTGGCCTTGGTGCTGCTGTGTTGAGGGCAGGAAGGCTTAGTGGTTCTGTACTGCAAGCAGGAGCACCTTGCTACTAGCCCCTAATGGCCTTGAAATATGTCCAGAGGAGCTCCCTTGTGAGCGCAGCTTCGTTACACGTAACTATACCTATGTTCCTGTATACCAGTGGTTCCCAAACTTTTTCAGGCTGGCGCCCCCTTTGGCTCCCTAGTGAATTTCTAGCGCCCCCCACAGACATACGCCTCTTTCTTGAAATTTAGTACGTTGAAATTTTAAAAGATAAAGGTTAAACACAAATGTGTATATCACAAATAGAATTCCATTTAGTGAACCAATATGTTCTTCAGCTGTTTTAACTGTTTCAGCACTAGAAACCTAGGACGTCTCGGGCGAATTTAGGGCCGGACTCGTGGCTGGTCTAACGACCAATCTCCAAATTCAATTATCAAGTAATATCTCCCAAACTAATGAACGCAGCTCTGTGAAACTTGGAACATATATTCATCAAAACCTAACGGTGATGTTTAGCTCGTAATTATTTTTTTATTTTACCTTCATTCGTGAGTTACGCGTACATTGCGAAACAGGCCGAAATTCGCAGTGATCAAAGAATTTCTCCCAAACTATTGAACAGTTTTGAACGAAATTTTGAATATACATTCCTAACTACCAGACGGTAATTTTTTAGCTAATAAGTTTTTTTCGGTTTTACCTTCGTTTGCGAGTTTTTTTTTTTCATTTCACAGTCATTCCTGACTTCACACTTCCTTATATTCGACCGGTATCGCCTGGTAATTTGTCACTTAAATTCGCGGCGATCACGAAATTTCAAATCCAATTTCAAGGAAAGTTTGTATATAAATACCTAACCTCTCAACGGTGATGTTGAGCTCGTGACGATTTTTTTATTTTGCTTTCGATCGCGAGTTATACAGATATAGGAGGAACGACCGGCTTTTCTACCGGCCGGTGTAACCAAGAGCCTTATACGTATAGCCGTATAACTCGCAAACGAAGGCAAAACGAAAAAATTTTAAACATCACCGTTGCTGAGGTGAGATATTTAAATACTAAGTTTCGTTCAAAACTGTTCAGATGTTTGGAAAAAATTTCTTGATGACTGCGAATTTAAGCATGTATTGCTGTTTAAATCACGAATGAAGGTGAAATAACGAAAAAAAACTCGCGAACGAAGGCACGATCGAAAAAATTTTTACGAGCTAAACATTACCGTTCGGTAGTTGGAATGTAAATTCAAAATTTCGTTAGAATCTGTTCAGTAGTTCGGAAGAAATTACTTGATCACTGAGAAATTCGAGCCGTATTAATAATAATAATAGCGGTTTCAGCGTTTATTAGGCCGTAGGCTTAATAAACGCTTAGGCCGTAGGCTTAATATTCAGCTTGTTGAGGTCTCGAACTCAAAACTCACTGATTAAATTCTACCGTGCTTGACCGCCCGGCCTCCCTGCCGATTCTGACCAGAAACTGGCGCACAGAGCTGGGATCGAACCCGCGCCTCTCTGCGCCAATCTTGGTACTCTGAACTGTAACCACTGGGCCACCCTGCCATATATAACAATGGCAAAAACAAACGATGGCAAAATTCAAACAATTTTCACGAGCAAAACGTTATCGTTAGGTTCTAATGAATACGTGTACCAAGTTTCATCGAGTTAAGTTCATTAGTTTGAGAGATATTCCTTGATCATTGAATTTGAAAATTGGCCGTGAGACCAGCCGCGAGTCCGGCCGTTAATTTGTCCTAGACGTAAACCCAGGAGAGGTAAAAAACAGATCTGGGTGAAAAAACCATCGCTGGGAGTCATTTGCTGCGCGGGTTGTGTACAAATCGTCAAACAAACGTTCGAACTTCTGACATTGACTTCGGGCTATCGCCCCCCTTATCGCCCCCCTACCGCCCTCTTCTTCCTTACCGCCCCCCAAAATCTTTCCACCGCCCCTAGGGGGGCGATACCGCCCACTTTGGGAACCACTGCTGTATACAGTATATGCTTGAAGTAGGTAGGTAGGAGGCAATGCATTTCTGTACCTGCCTTTACGAGCTTGAAGTGACCTAGCGTTGTCGTACTGCTGACATGTGACTTCTTCCCACCAGGCGGGGCTGATGTGGTCCAAGAAGCACTGCGACAACCACTCCAACATTGACCTTAAGGAGACTATCGGCAATTTCCTCGAGTATATTCATTTCTACAAAATTCCTGCCAATATCCTTATGAAGGAGGTGCATCCTCTAGGACTCGTGCCCTACCACATTATCATGAACGCCCTCGCCTACCAGGTGGGGAGCGTTGAATCCTGGTGTTGACAGTTGAGGCCGGGTGTTGACAGTTGAGTCCGGGTGTTGACGATTGTGTCAATTGAGTCCGGGAGTTGACAGTTGAGTCCGGGTGTTGACAGTTGAGTCCGGGAATTGACAGTTGAGTCCGGGAGTTGACAGTTGAGTCCGGGTGTTGACTGTTAAGTCCGGGTGATGACAGTTGAGTCCGGGTGTTCACAGTTGAGTCAGGGTTAGGTCAGGTAGACGATGCTTTCTTGTTCAATTGTTCAGAATTTTATCTCTTCCAAAATGTAATTAATATTACACCAATTAATCCAATTATTATTATTAATTGGATTAATACACTTTGTGCTCATCATCTCCTTTCTTTAGTTAAGCTTGTTAAGTAAGTTTGTTAAATGTTGTTACTCGTACAAGTTATCTGAGTAACTATAACTCATACAAGTTTGTTGAGAAAAAATATCTGGTGCAGGCTGACCCCGGCAGCGTGGACCCCAACAAGTTGTCCCCCAACAGGCCCCGAGGGGGTCACCAGGGGCGCTCCATGTCCGTGCAGTCCTCCTCCCTAGACCCCCTGGGCTCCAACGGCACCCTGTCCTCATCAGCGTCCTCTGAGATGGACTCAGGCAGACACTCCTCCGAGGGCGCCATCGATGGACGGGCCTCCCCCAAGGAGAAAGACTCCTAGGGTGTGGAGGGTCCTCCCCAAGGAGAAAGACTCCTAGGGTGTGGACGGGCCTCCCCAAGGGGAAAGACTCCTAGGGTGTGGACGGGCCTCCCCAAGGAGAAAGACTCCTAGAGTGCGGACGGGCCTCCCCAAGGAGAAAGACTCCTAGGGTGTGGACGGGCCTCCCCAAGGAAAAAAGACTCCTAGGGTGTGGACGGGCCTCCCAAAGGAGAAATACTCCTAGGGTGTGGACGGGCCTCCCCAAGGAGAAAGACTCCTAGGGTGTGGACGGGCCTGCCCGAATTAGAAATACTAATGGCAGAAGATTTATTAGAGGGTGGACGTGCCAACTCGTCCAACCAGGGGCCGGATTATCAAAACTTCGTAACTTTTTGTACTTACGACAAAAAGTTACGTGTTACGTAAGTACGCCCTAATTTTCGCATTATCAAAACTTTCGTACGCGAGACAGCTAAAAGCGTATTATCAAAACCATCTGGCTAACTGACCAATCAGAGGCTTTGGATTTTCTGTTCCTGTACTTCTGTAACCTCCACTCGACCAGTGCGCAGTGCGCTTGGACGAAAGTAGGATATGTGGTGTCAGCGGCATTTGCGGTGCCTGACCAGCAGGGTGTATTTGTATAAATGAGCGAGACGTTATCCAAATAGCAATGCTCTTGTTGTTGCGATCATTAACCGAAATTTCTTGCAATAAGGGCGAATAAATGCATTATTCCCATTAAAAATTAGAAGATTCTTTTTAGAAGGTTACAAAGAATTTAGAAAATTTCGTGAGTTGGAGTTGCAACTGTCATAAAAAGAAATAAATTTGTTTACAGAGAACTAGAAAAATTGTTAGCTTGTCAACCTCAATATAATTTTGAATCAAAAAGGCGTTAAGATATTGTTCAAGTAAATTATCATAAAACTCTTAGATTTGAATATCAACATTTGCTTGTAAATTATAGCACAAAAGGCAATTGACTTTTTTATCCCAAAAACACCGCTTAGCACGATCACATACATATTATGCCTATGTTAAATTATTAGCAAAATTCTATCATAATTCACCGTGTTGCAAGTAAATCAATAGTTTTATATTGCTTAAGCACACTCAAAACTTGTACCTAACTCCACTTACGACATCTCCGAGCAGGCGTACAGTTTCGTTACGTAGCTTCCCTCGCAAATGTTTTGTAAATACCACCGCTAAAGTTACGTCATCATATCAGCACTTACGCCACACGCAAGTTGATTTTGCGTACCTACGAAGTTTTGATAATACGGTCCCAGGGTTGGACGACAAAAATGAATAATTAATTGGAAAGATTGGACGATTAGATTGAAGAAAACAAATAACAAAGAAAAAAATAAATCAGTACTCACTGTAGTGAGTGACAGAGAGCGCATTTTCTCGTCGACGGAAACGTGAAGTCACGGACGGACGGACGGACAGACGGACATGGCGAGCACAATAGTGCATTTTTTCATAAATGAGAAAATGCGCTAATAAGGATAACTAGAGTGTGTAAATGAAGAGATAATTAAGAAATAGTAAAACTAGTGGCGCGGAGAAGCTTGTTATGAAAAGAAGATTACCAATTGAAAATATATGAACGTCTAGCCGGAAGAAAGAATTATTCACTGGCGACGTTTGAACCCATTGTTAGCGGACGTGGTCCCGAATTCTAAGCATTCGACCTACTTTTATCATTTCGTATATAATTTGTGCTAAAATGTTATTAGTTTTTATTTACGTTTTTCTAATATATTCACACAACAAACTTAACACAACTTAGAACACAAAACTTAACTCAACGTTTTGATCAACTTTGAGTTTGACGAATGACTTTTCCCAGAAAATTGTGAACCAGTGACTATTTTTTTTAACAAAATGGAGAAATTAATTTGAAAAAAGCTTATCTTGTTTAACTGAATTTTTTTATTCCTTGTTCTGAATAGCATTTTTATATTAGCAGTATTTCAGTTCTGGTGACAAGAAGTTTTATTTTAGTTTATGAAAATTATAGCCAAAATTAGTTTTTTGAGAACAAACTACCAAAGAAAACGACCGAAGTCAGGGTGAACATTGTTATTACTGTCAATAATAGTCTGAAATTCCGACTGGTGAATGAACTCGGTTGAAAAATTGTTTCAAATAAAGAAAATAACAACAATAATAATACTAATGGAAGAAATAAATAGAAAAAACAGATGGAAGTAAAAATGCGTAAGTGCCAAGTGCACATCTCAAAATGTAATAAATTCAATATTTCATCTTCACTGTCATACTCGTCACTCAATTACTCGTCTGAACGCCAACGGTCATTCCCGCAGAGAAAATTGCTCAGCACACAAAACATTTACCAGATAATAATGTTGCCAAAACGCAAGGCAATTTGAAATTTATAGCAAATTTGGCGTTAACAATAGTAAATGACATTCTAGAGTATAGGAACTTTACCAAAAGTTTTGATACAAGCACTAATTGAAGTTAGGATTTGATGCATAATCAAAAAAGGTTAAAGGAAAAGTATATATAATTTGATATTTATTTGATTAAAACTTATTCTATGAGATCGTCACCTAATAACACCAAACTAAATGCAAAATCTTGAGCTGTTATTTCAATACGAAAATTAGTAAAATTACGGAAGACTACATTAGCTGCACTGCGGTCAGTACATTCTGCACATGGTAGCTGTGGCGACGTTACTTTGAACTGGATTTATATTCAAGTCGCCCGAGTTTTAGTAGCTGCACGTAAGACACTTTTTAGCTGCTGCAGGTTACAATGGTGCCAAATGAGCGAAACATTTCTCAATACATTTGGCGAACTTCGGCGAACAAATTTCGCTTGGTCTTCCCACCCGAAAGCGGTTTCGCAAATCTTATATAGACACGCTAACTTGATCCACTGTCTCTGCTTTCTGTGATATGCTCGATACTTTTTGTATTAATTTTAAATTTACGCATAAATTAGACTTTATGAAACAGCTTCAAAATTATAATTCTCGTAAAGAGAACTTGAAGTGATAAAATTTTTTCGAATCAAAACGCACCACCGCAATCAAGTCAAAGTAACAGTTATAGCTAATGCATTAATATGAAATTCTTGTAACTTGGACTAGGGCACACGAACACGAGGGACATAACTTGAGCTGTAACTGTTAGTTACACAATTAAACTTACACTATAACTTGGCATAGACATCTTATTAATAATTAAAATTACGATAATAAATCAACCATTACTTCATTTTCACTAGAAGAATTGTAACTGATGGACAAGTGACTGATAAAATTGAAACTTATGAACAGTTGACTAATAGAATTATAACTGAAGTAAATTTAACTGGAATAAGTGTAACTTGAGAAACGAGATAAATTTGTAGTTAATGCATCAAAGTTTGTTGGCTAATTTCTGATAAATAGAACGGCGTCAGAACACGCTAACCGCGTCAGCACACACACCCAACTTCGTCGGACCTAAACCTTGCACTAAACTTGGGTAGAATTAATGCAGCATTGGAGTAGGTTCAAGGCACTAATTTTGATGCTTTAGGCTCCTATGAATATGGAAGCTCCAGTTCAATTAATACTAGAAAGTAAAGGGTGGGTTGAATATATCTTTCGTACATTAGGCTACGTATTTGTATGGTCGGAATCACTTTCAGCTTCACAATATGCAGCTGGCCTATCAACGAAAAGGGCATTCTGGTCTCCTGAATGTGCAGGCCGAGGGAAAAGCTCTTCGTAGCTGGGTGGTAAATCGTGGAGGCAGTGATGAGGATCATGGAAGGGAGGGTTAAAGCCTGAAGTGTTGCCCGCACAACTACTGGCAGAACCGCACTCAGAAGGGGAGTCTGCACACGAGGCGCCCAGAACCCACTCCGATGTAGACCCCAAAAAGTGGGTGTGAGGGCGCAATCCTTCGGTTGAACTCGAGAACCTAGCGGCAGGAACCCTGTCAGGTTCTGGACTTGCGTTCGTGGGAAGCAAAACAAAAGTGTAAATAATCCCGGTCACTTGATCGGTGCCATCCAGCGACGAGGAGCTATCGTCAGTAGGGGATGGTGGACAGTCATTCAGTTCCTCACTACCTTCTTCCTCGTACACAGTCTGCATGGTGCACGCTGCCAGGCAGATGCTGGACCTGCGTGGATCCCGGAGATGCTCCTTACTCTGAACGCCGCACGCAGCACCGCCTGCGTCAACATTGCCTCTTGTGCAGTCCAATGTGGTTTTACCAAAGCTCGAAGAGGTAATCAGAGAAGGACATGAGTAAAGGCGGCCTCTCGGCACTAAGGGGGGCTCCTGTTCATGTTCAGGGCTCACCAGCTGTGGTGTCGCCCACTGTATCGGCCGCCGGTTGGACCGGCCGTTCTGGCCTGATCCCTGGTTGATCGATTCACCAACATTAGGACCTCCGTTGCGGCTAAATTCAGGGATGGCCGGCGCTCCGTTGATCGGAGACTGTCCGTCATGGTTGGCCGCTATCACCCCAGTGTTGCCTCGTTGGTTTTGCGCGTCAAGCGCTGTGTTCCGGCCATCCACAACGGATATTCTTATGGCGTCATCGGCTGGGGCATGAGTTTTCCTCCCACACCGAAGGCAGTGGCAGTAATGGCGACACACGAACCGTACAGCAACACCACTAACGACCGTCACGGCCAGGAACGTAGCCAGGTAGAAGCCGTGCTCCGCACTGAACCTGCACGGTAAAAACCACAAACTCAATAATGTTGTTCGTTAATAGTTAGTTTACTTGACATTTACAGATACATTATTCGTCGTCAATGCTATTCGTATTTCGTACCAAAACGCCTGGTAACGAGATTACCGTCAGTGGACAAAGTGTAAGGATAGACGTATTTAACATGCATTAATAATGATATGTATTGAGGTTAAGCGAATGTATTGCCAATATGGCAATATCTCACAATTGTTATATTATAAATTATAATGAAGTGGTACTATATGATATGCCCTGTCACCTTGGCACCCTGCTACATTCCCCTCCCAGTCTGTCGCTGCCTGCCCAGTGCCAGGCAATACGAGTATCCTATCTACCAGCTTAGACGAGCACGTTTGGTTCAGTTTATAGCTTTGTAGAATGTGGCAACGTCAGGTTAACCTGCTACCGACACAACCTCGCAAAAAACGTCAGGTTAACCTGCTACAACACAACCTCGCGAGAAACGTCAGGTTAACCTGCTACTAACACAACCTCACGAGAAACGTCTGGTTAAACAGACGAACTCATGCTCCGCCCTGCTCGCTACGAGATCTGCTTCGAAGCTCCCGGTTAACTGCTACCGACACAAGTTCAAAATAATATAACTCAGTACTCACTGCAGTGAGTGACAGAGAGCGCGTTTTCTCGTCGACGAAAAAATGAAGTCACGGACAAACAGACGGATATGACGAGCACAATAGTGCCTTTTTCCATAAATGAGAAAATGCGCTAACAATGACGCTGAATGCATACCACAAGAGGCGCGTACTCACATGCCAGTGCGCATGCGCGTCACCGTGGGAGCAGCAGACGGAGCATCGTGCGCCATGGCGGTTGTCATGGAGCGTAAGTTAGGACCGCGAAACTTCAACTTCAGTACAATTCCACTTATCTCGGATGTTATATGGTTTTCATTAATAAGTTTTACTTTCTTATATTATTGCAATAGGAATCTTTGTTACACGTAGGAATACGTAAAGAAGGTATATTGTTGTTGCACTTTCAATGTAGTCGGAAATGAGCGATAATGCGAGAGGACGGATGAATGTTGGCTCAGAGGAACAACACACACATGCAGTCGCCACGACGGCCAGGCCGACAATGCGGGCGGCGCTCGCGTGCCACATCTTTATAACATTTATCGCGGGGCGCATGGGTATGTATTGTCATGATTGTTATTACTATTTTATTGTCATTTTATGATGCTATGATGACTATCTTATCAGATGTCATTAAAAATGACATTGAATACTTCTTGCACACTTTCCACTACATAAGTACCATAAAAATGCTCTGTGGTATGTATACATTCACCAGCAAAGTGCATTGAACCGAAAAATGAGTCTTGACATAAGATTAAATAAATTGAAACGTTACATAAGCTTCATTAAAATTATTTGACAATTGCGATCGAGGATTGTATTTTAGAGCAATCATTACTTGATTATAGATGAACGCTTTTATTTATAAAAACATTACTTCCCATTGAGCCTTCGCAGCTTCCTGAGGACTAGGGGAACTACCAACACGCGCCCCCCTCCCCTTATGCGACCTGAGGGTCACGCCCCAGCCCTCCCCCCGGTGACCTGCGCCCCCTCTTCTTTGGGAGCAGCGTTCCCCTTTTCAAGATCTCTTGTACTCAGGCACGCCTTTCCGCTTTAAATACAAATTAATATGAAAACTATTAATCAATGAAAGCAACTACACTTTGATAGAAGAATAAAAAATTATTTTAAAATACGCTGATGAGGAAGAAAGAGCGCGACTCGTGAAATAAGTCTTAATAAAACATAATGAATACAACTAATATAAGATAGTCACAATAACTAAGATAATATAATGAAGACAACTTTGAGATAACAATCGCAGCTAAGATAAGATAGATAAACCAGCGCCAAATTAGATGAAAAAAAACGTACAGAAAACATCGGGTGTTCCCCGCGGGTCGCGGTCAAGGGAACGGCGAGTGGCAACACCGCATCTTGGCTAGTGTGGCAACACCGCCTCTTGGCTGCCGTATGGCAACACGGCCTTCAGGCTGCCATGTGGCAGCATCGCCTCTTGGCTGCCATGTGGCAGTCGTGACCTAGTCTGAAGTACAGTAGTGACCTTGGCTGGGGTGCAGTGACGACCTTGGCTGGGGTGTAGGCGAGTCCCTCTGTGTAGGGACATTCCCCGCCATGGCACGAGTGAAAGAGGGGTGAGGGGCGGGGCAAGTGAGCACGTGTGGCTTGCACAACTTGCACGTAGCAAATTGTGCCACGGAGTATATGAGTATATGAAGAGAATGTATCGATCATAAATATATAGAAATAAAGGATGGCAGCATGGAATTTTTTTCCAATAACAGTTATGAGTCTACAACCTTCTACCACAATCACACCAACTAACCACCACTTACCTACCGTTAGTAAAGGTTAGTGAGTGATATATGAAAACCGCCCTCATACAGAGACATTTTGTTCACGAAAACGTACCGTATAAGAGCCTAAGAGGAGTGAAGGTCGAGTCACGCCGCTGGTTTATGGCTCTGCTGGCACTCTGATTCTGGTATTCTGGTTAGGTACTGCTTGGCCTCCCGCTCTCTTCCTCTAAAGTCTAAAACTTTAAACCCAAATCTAACTTCTGTTCGGTCAGAAAGATCACAGGTCGTCTTCGTGTTTGTTGGCCTACGGGCACTCTTTTATTAATTTATTATCCATTCTTTACTCCACTTTTGAACGAGGCTCACTTTGCGTTCTTCGTATTTTATTTACCCTCGGTTCTGAATCGTCTAGTGCTTGTTACAGTGTGCGCACCAACCTGCAAGCAAATATAACGCTAGCATTTCACTTGGGAACTTTGCTAACGATTATTCAGTTCTAAACCTATTAGAAAATCTGAAAAAAAATTTTTCTTTTGTTTTCTTATGGTAAATCGTACGCTTGGCAATCATGTGCTCAGCTGCAGTCAGGGCCTTGCTAGTGCAAGCAATGGCGCTAGATTATAATGCAAGAAATTTTGATTTCACTACTTTATTCACAATTATAAATGTATACTGATCCGTGAATCGACAAAACGTAGCCTCCTCTTATATACCTACCTATCTCAAGCTCTCATGACACCGCGTCGTATAGTTAATTAAAACAAGTCAAATAATCTAATGATTATACTTTTATAGTATCCAAACCAAATCATATTACCTGTGGTTCGTATATCAACCATTCTTGCTATAAGTTCGGGCTCAGTTATCGCGAGAGGAAAACTCGCCTCCAAGGCGCCGCTCATTGCTAAGTAATAAGTTAGGCTCGCTGTCTCTCTCCATAGCTAGTCATCAACTTGGTGATAAAAGTCATAGACTCAAGTAAGAATTACGAAAATGCAGTAGTGAAAAAGTACTGAAAAATTAATGCAAAACCAAATAATCTTCATGCAAGGAGAGACGTACCCAATGAGTGGCAAGGAATTAGGAAAAAGCATCGTATAGGACTCGTAGCGTCTGAGATGCACCAGAAATTTTCTGAATCATACCACATTGTAGATAAGGCAGAGTCTGTGCGTGCAAATGATTCGAAGACAAGATATTTGGTGCCGCTGTCATTGCTGCGACTGCGCCTCGACCTATCGTATTTAGCCTTCACATCAGTTTTAATCCTACAAAAGTAGTCACGCTCTTCAAAATTTAAGACGTAGAGATTTGACTAGAAAAAGTCTACAGCAGCGCGGTTTGTCCTCAAGGCTCGCTAGCCTTGCCGCTGCCTTGCTGAGCTTGCTCAAGCTGCTGGAGTGCTGCTCCACTCCTCAGTGCTGCTCAAGGTGCTGTGGTGGACGCACGGAGCCACCCACCCTCAGTACGTACAGCTGCTGGTCACGTACTCAGGATTTTGACGAGGTATTACCTATACAAGGCCTGATGTTGAGACACCGTGGCTAACCCTTCCTTGTCACGGGCAAGTGCGCAGCAATGACCCTCATTTGAGAGAAGCCTCCACCACACAGGGGATGAGGGCATTTAAACAAGAAGCAACATCATTAGGTCTCATAAAATCAATAGGTCTCATACGCTCAGCTGAGTATGTGAGGCACTTTGGACTGATATTCTACAGCCTAGAAGTGTGCTCATACGATCACGGCACAACTTACGACCACCGTGCCTCTTGCGATCGTCTTACAACTTAAGACAAACTTACAGCTTGCGGTCTCCGTACGACCATCGTCCAACCTTCGAATTAACTAAATTCTTTAACAGAATGATAAAGAGGAAATTATGGCTCAATGCATAAATGAAGCGTCTAGTATAAAGTTTATACTCCTTTTACAATCAGCCATGCAAATGCATTAAAATATTTCCAAAACAAGTGTATAACACAATAGTTTTTAAAGACCACCGACAGCTTCAATCGACACAAAAAATATAAGCTACATGTTCGACAACGAGCTTATGAATTAACATCTTAGTCTTGAGGAATGCGTAGCTAGTTTCTGGAAATCTAGGTAACAGTGCAATTGATGACATAATGCAGACCAAAAGATGTTAATGTGAAGACCAAAATGTTACACTGCTTCCATAAATGAAAGCATTCTGCATCAAGCTTTACTTCTAGCACTTTCATCATCTACTAACATGTAGTCCACGTAAGAGTTAGATCGACTTTATGCAGTCATCATAGTTCTCTGTTCGCCGTTTTTACGGTCCGAAATGTTTCTATTGTCAGCTGTGACTGCTCATTTTTCCCCAAACTGCGATCGAATTTTTTCGCGTTCTACAAAAATAAATATCACATTCATTCGTTATTTCCCACAATAATTAAGAGATAAAATACACCGTACTATTCCGCTATTCTTTTTCACCAAATTTGTAATCAGGTCCTAAACATTTTTGACTTCAACATGTCAAGTTTCACGGCAGAACCTCCAACAATCGAATCATAATGATTCATTATGAACTTACAGTGATCGGTTATCGTAGCCAAAAGCAGGCCAATATACAATGCAGAATTCTTCTAGAAAATGTCACCAAAACTAAAAACTAAGCCTTGCTTCACCAAAAAGAATACTAGTTGATTAACTACAATATAACTAGTATCCGCAATTAACCAGCATCCAGTGGAATCTAAACTTGATTAATATTGTGCGAATAGGTATTTATAAGCACTTCCGATGAACCCATTTTTTCCGTGGGAAGCTTGTCAGTACTTCATTTTTTTATATGCAAGTTTGATTAAAGACCAGAGCATGTTTTTTTATTGCGAGGCATGAAGAATTTCATGCTTCGGCATGAAATTCTCGGTAATGCCTCGCAATAAAAAACATGCTCTGGTCTTTGGTCTTTAATCAAACTTGCATAAAAGAAAAACTTCTGCCGAATTACACCAATTTTTTATATGTGTACAATGGAAGTCACAAAGTTACAGTGCCCCGCAGTAAAATCACAGCCATCTGCATCAACACGACAGGGAAAGAACTGCAGGCATGCTAATGCGGTTATACAACTGAATTAAACTGGACGAGGAATGAATGCGAATGTATGAAAGGCAAACCTGAATGTCTATCGATTCAGCGCAGAGTAAAATAAGAAAATATATGTCTAGCAGCCCGACTACCAGCATAAAAACATTGTAATGCCGTCATGTTTGTTTTTAGCGCATTTTCTCATTTATGGAAAAAATGCCCTATTGCGCTCGTCATGTCCGTCCGTCCGTCTGTCTGTCTGTCCGCCCGTGACCTCACGTTTTCGTCGACGAGAAAATGCGCTCTTTGTCACTCACTGCAGTGAGTACTGAGTTATATTTTTTAAGCTTCTATATTTTCAACGCAATCTCACTAGTCGTCAGCTGCTACGACAGCAGTCATAGTCACAATTTTTCGTCGATGTAGTCGTCAGGCACGTATTTTTGTTGTCCTTGCTTTTATCACCAATGCAAGCGATAACAAAATGATAACATACGCTCGCTAGGTCATTATTAGTTTACTTATACGCAACCGAATGAACAAAACAACCGAAAACAGAAAACTTTCCTGAAAATTCTTCCAATCACGGAAAAACAATTGACACCTTTAATTTCATAACTAGAAACTGCAACAAAATATACAAAAACATTTAATACAAATATTTATTTAATATAATAATATTTATTTAATATAATAAATATTTAATACAAATATTTATTATATACAAAACTTATACGAATGTACAACAATAAGCGAGAAGGTCGAGTCCCTCGCTTGACTCACCACTCATCTTCTGCTGAGAAGTCACCGGGATCCAGCGTGCCTGAGGGCGGAGCGGTAGCAACAATCACCTTCGTCTATATTGAGTATATTTTCAGGTTGCAGGTGATAGTTCACATCTTGCAGTTTAGTAATTTTGACTGTTTTGCTCTATTGTTTACTCTGCAAGAGCCACAAAAACGAGCACTGTCAACAATAAGCAATGTAATACAAGGGACGGAACACGTCTTCGATATAGTATAGACTATAGACCAGTTCCTGTAGACAAGGCTGTGAAGGCAAACAAGTCGAGGCAGTTATATTATATTTGGTGTGGACACGTCAGTAAAACATGTGTACACAATAACACAACCGAGACTAATGTATGAATAAAGCATAAAAATAGATAAGCTATGCAAGAAGGGGAGTAAACAAACCCAGGCACAGGCAGTCTAGTAGAAAAACAAGGAAGTTCGAGAATGAACACGGAAATGCCGAATCATGGAATAACACAATCGTTGAAGCTGCGTGACAACTTCAAGAATTAGGTCCATGATTCAAGAGCGAATTGAAACCTCGCTACAATGTGCACACAAACAAAGATTAAAAGCGTGCCATGGTGAAAATTTCGTTCAATCAGAGGGGAATAAACAACCCCTCCCTTCCACATTGCGGCATTCAATGTCGCAATGTGAGTTCACCTCTTCAGCGTCTTTAGCTTTTTAGTATTTACCCAAGATCACACGAGTTCCGCATCTCTACATCACACGAGCTTCACGGGAACCACTCTTCTACGAGAGAACGTCAGAGACGGAGTATGGCGCAGACTCGCAGTAATACGTAAACAGTTAGACTATTATACTAATTCAAATTACCTGCATTGCAAATATTAGGTAACCTCTAAATGTAAAAAGTATTTGGTATCCACGAGAACATTAATTATTTTATTTTACGAGTTAATCTGTTAAAATTGGAAGCGCATGGAAAAAGTGACATAACTGTGCACGCAGCACGAGCAGAAATGAATACGTGTGGTGTGCTGCCGTGTGCATCACCACACCACAGACACCAGGAAAATGAACCACTGGTTACCCCAATCAGGTTGCAATATTACAGGTTCGTACACTCTATGTCACTTCTTCCTGCAAACAATACCTTCTAAGAACCTAAATTTATATCTCCTCAAAACGCTTAATGATTTTATAAAGAAATTCATAACACATGTGAGAAGAGCACAAACCACACATCCACTACGCGCGGCTGTGTTAGAGTAACTGAAGCCGTGAAGCGTCGCTTTTATAGTCTGCACTCAGCAGGTATGCTTCAGTGGGCAACACCAGGAACAGCTGCTCGGTTGAGCTGATTGGTTAGCCTTCACTGAGCATAACATCGCATATTATTTATTGTGGTATATGAATTTGATTGATTCGACAGTTTAACTTGTATTCGATAGCTTCTTTACCTTAACGAGAGTTAAACAATATTAATAACTTTTCTACATAAATACCCAGTAGACTCAATATTTCACAAAGTGTAAAAAATTTGCTCATAAATTATTGTCAGCGTATTCACTGGCTCCAAGAGGCGGGCAGACTACTACCTTCTATGACACCCGAGTCGCCACTCGGCCACTGTACTTATGTCGCCGGACTCCAATACGAGCGAGAAAAAACGGTATAAAAAGTACTAACTTCTTAATGAAATTTCAAGAGCTTCGTGTTATCACTCTATGTGTTGTGGAAAAACAGACAAATGTAAATCGGGAATTTGGTGAGTTTTCGCCACTCTTGTAGCGAGGCGAGTTCGGTGCAGTGTTGTTAAAAGTTGTATTGACGGGAATTGGCAGGCTGTTGTGCTGACTAAACGAATAGTATACCATTTGAATAACTGACAAGTAGACTATCTGACCAGCTGATAGGCCGAAAATCAGGACATCGTAATAACTGAAAAGCTAAGTGGGTCGCCGATTTGAATCGATAAGCTGGCTAACAGAATGCTTGAGGAACGGTCTATATAACTTGCTGGCTGAATGACTGCCTGAGGAACAGGATATGTAACTTACTGGCTAAATGACTGCCTGAGGAACGGTTTATATAACTTGCTGGCTAAATGACTGCCTGACAAACGGTCTGTATAACTTGCTGGCTAACTGACTGCCTGACAAACGGTCTATTTAAGATGCTGGCTTACTTACTACTGGTCTTTATAACTTGCTGACTACTCGTCTACAGCTCTATTAATCTTTAACATGACAAGCGAGGAACTAGTGTACTGCAATAGGAGCAGTGAATCTGTCATCACTGAGACTGACCAGAATTTAAATTTCCCCTTGCATCACCTAGCCTTGATATGCTGCTTTTGTTCATTTACTGATATATTCAGCAAGTCTGTGCAAAAATTAACAGAATATGCTAGATTTTTGTATAAAAGGTGTATTAGTATTTGAGTTAGCTAAGAATATGATACAAACTGTGAGCCTAAGCTGCTAATCTCGTTGCAGCAACACCTCTTGACTCGACCATGATTCTTTTTAGTGTGGCAATACGTTAATATTTTTGTCCCACATCCACAATGGCTAGCGGTGGGGTGGCGTGGTGGGTAAAGTGTCTCAAGGTTACGGTGCTTTGTCGTTAGAGCTGGTGGTGCGCTGTGCTGTTCCTACGAACATTTCTGTGAGCCGGAGGGTGGCGCGGCAGCTCTTGCATCAAGGATTGCGTGCTGCAGCTCCTGCATCAAGGGGGGTGCGCTGCAGCTCTTGCATCAAGAGTTGCGTTCAGCAGCTCTTGCATCAAGGGTTGCGTGCAGCAGCTCCTGCATCAAGGGTTGCATGCTGCAGCTCTTGCATCAAGAGTTGCGTGCAGCAGCTCTTGCATCAAGAGTTGCGTGCAGCAGCTCTTGCATCAAGAGTTGCGTGCAGCAGCTCTTGCATCAAGGGTTGCATGCAGCAGCTCCTGCATCAAGGGTTGCGTGCAAAGGGTTGCGTGCAGCAGCTCTTGCAGCAAGGGTTGCGTGCAGCAGCTCTTGCATCGAGGGTTGCGTTCAGCAGCTACTGCATCAAGGGTTGCGTACTGCAGTTCTCGTGTCAGGGACTGCATTCATCGCTCGTTCAACTGAGGTCTGAATGGACGCTCTGTTGCGTATAAAAATAACTCAGGGGCCTCCTCGCATGCTGTATGAACGGCGGGCTGTTGATAAATGTAAGCCATGTATAATTCATAGTGGTTGAATGTTTGGTGCGCATTTCCTAGTTACTAGATGAATCGCTTGATTGACTTTACACGAATATATTGGGGGAATAATTAGGCACTGAGTGCTGTATATTGATGCAATGGCAATCGTCTAATCTAGGGCCTCACTCAACTGGCCAGAGAGGAACATGGTTAGAAAATGGCAGGCTGTAATAACTGAGGCTCCAGCTGGTGGAGTGTAAAAACTGAGGGCCTCGACTGTGAAGGTGTAATAACTGAGGTCCCAACTGAAGAGGTGTAATAACTGGGGCAGCAAGTTGCGAAGCGCAGTAGCTGTGCGCATTTGAAGTGTGTCAGGTGACGTGTGCGTCATGTGACGTGATAGCGAGACAGCGTATATATTAGACACCTTTATGAATGAGATAACTCATTATTATGAATTCTTAAGCGTTGAAGATTTGCTTCTGCTTCACCGAGAACGTGAGCGACTTATTCTTTCGTAAATTAGAAATTCTATTTTTTCACAGGCTTGGATTCAAAACAAACGCTAAATTTTATTACCATGTATTTGCGAGCCCATTACAGCAGTGATGGATGTGCTGGAAGAACAGCGTTCTATATCTTGTATTAATATACTTCATAAGTCAGAAGTTTATGTCTCCAGGAAAGGTTTCTGCTGCTCAATGTTTTTGCTCGTCTCGTGCGTCGGCGGAGCGACTGCAGGGCCCGGGGGTTTCCTCCTCCGATATCTGAATAATATCCAAATAAAAGTAAGAATACAAAGTACTATACCTAAAGCTATGAGGGTGTAGCACACAGCATTCAGTACCACTTGCGGGTACACTGCTCTTGCGTAAAGAAGTTCCGTGGACTCTTTAGGAGCCTCGATTCCCTGATCCATCCACAGGATAGGGAAAATCACCTCTTGGATTTTGGACAAAGCTGGTAGCTCGGCGAATCTTCTGAATGGCATGTTGATCTGAACCCGTTTCTTGGCCCGCAACGACATTCCTGTGACGGGGTCAACATCCAGGTATGTTTCATGCTTCTTCTCGTCTGGGCTCAAACCTTTAATGGAATTTATATCTTTTTCGGAACCCATGTAGAAATGAGGGTAGGACGCCATGATGGGCACCCCCTTCCTGCATGGCGCGAGATATGCCATAGAATCACGACACGTGAACTCGTCCGTGCAATAGCACGCGTTTTCTTTTGTTTTGGCAAGTAATGAGTAAGGCACCCTGTACCTGTATAGCTGTAGCTTGTCCATGCTCACACTCCCGTTGAATTCGAAACGAATAGAACGACATAAAGCTGGAGAAAACATTACTATTGGCCTTTCGGGGGTTATGGGACGCGGGAAGGGGGCTGCAAGATTACCTTCCATGCTGTTACATCTATCTTCACTCCACACCTCGATCGAGGAATGCCCATCAAACGCCACAAGTTTCATGATGTCGCTGATATTAAAGGCCCCAGTGTTAACGACGATTTCAACATCTTTCGTTTGATTCTTCGGATAGTAGTAGCCGAACCTTCCCGTTTCGTGCACCGGGTTCTTGGTATAGGTTGACAAAGCTCTTAGTATTGGTTCCTCGTAGCCATCAAAGAGAAGTTCCCTGGCTGGTTTCGTTATGAAAGGTTCCATTTCGAACCGCCACAGATAGATTTCTAAAATGGCTCGAGCCGCTTCTGTCAACTCCATGTCTTCAACCAAAGACGCCAGGGTCAACATGATAGGATTTACTGTAGTGATCAAAGTGTCTTCTGAAAGACCAGCTGATTTATGGGGCACGAAATAAAAAGTGGAATTTTTTCGGTAAGACACTGTGCTCTTCGGATCATCCCAGAAGATGTCAGTCTTTTCCGAAAACTCGTAGTAGAAAAATGGACCAACTTCCACTACCATGGGCTTGAAGCCACGTAGTATTTCATCCTTGTTGGTGACGTTGAAGAAGTAAAAGCCGTGTTGAAATGCGATGGGCGGCTTGATGAAGTTGTCAATGTTTGGACTGTCTTGTCTGAGAACTAAGATGGCGTCCAGCTTCGTATTCAAGACGAAGGGGAAGACCAGAGGCAACACGATGCCGACCACGACCATCACCACGGCCGCCACCAAGATGGCTGCCGTCACACACCACTGACTCATGACTCGCTACATCAGACCTGCAGAGATATTTTAAATTATATTATTTGTGAAGAGAGGCACGTGGGTTAAATTAGTTGTGAAGAGAGGTGCGTGAGTTGAATTATTTGTGAAGAGAGGTGCGTGGTGAGAGATGCGTGGTTTGAATTATTTGTATAGAGAGGTCACAAATTAAATTATGTGTGAAGAGAGGTGCGGGGTTCCCTCACAAGTGGAACAGAGGGATGAGGGATATGGTGCTCACACGGAGTCAGAAGTGAGGAGGTATGAAGCTGAAGCAGATTAGAGCACAACAGCTGTAGTGCGAAGGCCTGAGGCTTGCTATATCACTATCATCGTTACCTTACAATACATCAGTCTGGGCACGCGCTACACTGCGCCCACCTCTGCCCTGCCATACTGCGCCCACCTCTGCCCTGCCACACTTGCATGCGCCCANGCTGCTGGTGCCGAACCTGCGGTCATTGATCATTGTTAGTGGTGCTGCTGGTGCCGAACCTGCGGTCATTGATCATTGTTAGTGATGATGCTGGTGCCGAACCTGCGGTCATTGATCATTGTTAGTGATGATGCTGGTGCCGAACCTGCGGTCATTGTGCCATGGTTATTGATCATTGGGCCCATCATCCATGATGTGCCACGAGGGGCCGTACCTCTTCTTGATGTGCCACGAGGGACCGTACTTCTTCTCGATGTACCACGGGGGACCGTACCTCTTTTTGATGTGCCACGAGAGGCCGTACCTCTTTTTGATGTGCCACGAGGGGCCGTACCTCTTCTTGATGTGCCACGAGGGGCCGTACCTCTTTTTGATGTGCCACGAGGGGCCGTACCTCTTTTTGATGTGCCACGAGGGGCCGTACCTCTTTTTGATGTGCCACGAGGGACCGTACCTCTTCTTGATGTGCCACGAGGGGCCGTACCTCTTAGGGCCGTACCTCTTTTTGATGTGCTACGAGAGGGCCGTACCTCTTCTTGATGTGCCACGAGGGGCCGTACCTCTTTTTGATGTGCTGCGAGAGGGCCGTACCTCTTCTTGATGTGCCACGAGGGACCGTACCTCTTCTTGATATGCTACGAGGGGCCGTACCTCTTCTTGATGTGCCACGAGTGTCCGTACCACTTCTTGAGGTGCCAAGAGTCCGATGTTATTGATGTGCTACGAGGGGCCTTACCTCTTCTTGATGTGCCACGAAGGGCCGTACCACTTCTTGATGTGCCAAGAGTCCGATGTTATTGATGTGCTCCGAGAGGGCCGTACCTCTTTTTGATGTGCTCGAGGTGTTTGGTCTCGGCCGTGACCGCCGTTTTAGAGCAGTCCAGCGCCGCCAGGAGGCGGTCGGCCAGCAGCGCGCGGTACTCGCAGATGAAGAGGTCAGCGCTGCCGTAGATCTCCACCAGCAGGGACAGCACGTCGCTGCTGCGGCTCTCACATGTCTTCCCTGCAACATTATCATTGACATCATTAAGCTCACAACTACAAGTGATCAACATGATCACTGATAATTATCAATATCACCATTGTGACGAACTAGCCTTAAATATTTCAATGACTAGTAGAGTCACCTCAGGTCGTCTTGTCAAGCCTATCAATGACCGGAAATTGTAAGATGCTTCCCTATAGGCTTAGTGAACAATTCTTGGGTGGACGTTGTTTAAAATGTCAATTAGAAAGCTGAAGTGTATATATTTAAAAATGAACAGCCAACAATGGAAGTAACAAATCTAAACGTGGAATTAAGGCAAATCAGAAACAAAACAATAGCTATTTACAAATCGGACAACGATACGAAAACTACTATATATGTCGGCTACAAACGAAAGAGCTATAACAAATTGAACGCGTAAAGAACTAATAAGTAACTAATCGGATACTCATGAACAATGCTGCAAATTGAACAGAAGAGAGCTAAGCTACTATTCGACAAATCTGATACGCAAATATAATTGCTTGACGCATGTGATCCCTGGCGAGAGGAGGGTCCTGTAAGAGAGGAACCAGTACCCCGGTCATGATCATCAGATTAACTGATTGCTAACAAAAATTTAACGCCCAAGTTACAGCTGGTCACGTTTGATCTTAGCGGTATAATTGCAAGTGTAGGAAATTTTCAACCTACTGCAGGGTGATTTACGGAAACTTCCTGTTTTGCACTTCGCACTAAGCAGAAAGAAGTCGTAGGAAAAAGGGCGGGAGTATTTCGTTTGAAAGGCAAGGTCGTGAAGTTGTGTGTCCCGCCTAGTCAGCTGCCGCTCTCCATTGGACAAGTGAGTGGCGTGCGTTTGCTGTCAAGGCGTACTTTTCTAAAGGTCATTCCATTATCGCTACTAAACGAGCACTCCGTACTAGGTTCCGTATTCGTCCTTCAGGTCGGGTTCCTGATCAGAAATCGATTGTTACGTGAGTGAACACATTAAGAGAAAGTTACCTTAAATCAATTGTTTACCATGACTGTCCATGGACCCTACCTCACTTGAAGAACAACATACGCCAAGCCATCGCCAACATACTCGTCAATATGCTTCAGTGAGTTGAACGGAACTTCAAAATCGATTAACTGAATGCATTGACAATGGGGGCCATCATTTGTCTGATGTTATCGTTAAAATTAAGTGATACAAAAATGCACACTGGTCACCGTTATCACCATATTGGTCACAGCAGATGTAGATCGTCACTACCATATCTATTTTCCAACATCATCGTCATCACTGCCAAGCATCATCATTAATGTCATCCGCCACCACCACCATCACAACCACTACCACCACCAGGGGCGCCTCACTCTGGGCATAGACAGCGTCTGGCGTCCACTGGCGCCACTCCTCGTCGCCCGCGGCGGCGCTGCCGTCGTCCACCGCGTCGCCGTCCATGACGTCCTCTGACAACTCCAGGGCGTCACCCCCACCTCCCAGGCCGCCCCCGTCACCTCCACCGCCGCCGTCGCCCCCGCCATCAGTGAGACTCGTCACGATGTAGCGCACGAAGTCCTTACGGCTCCTCAGGTACGTCCTGGGGAGAAGGGGATGTGAGGGACGTTGCATTCAGTCACACTTTTGACACCCACGGCACCCATGAACTCCACCGGGTCCTCTAAGGCATCCACAACACTTATGGCACCCATGACACGTATGACTCCACGGCACTCATGACCCCCACCTGGTCCTATATGGCACCCATGACACTAATGATACCCATGACTATAGTGACCCCATGGCACCCATGACCTCCACTTCACCCACGCCGCCATGCCCCCAAGCTCACCTGACGGGCTCGGTGACGAGGTCGAGGAGCGCGCCACGGGGCTCGAGGGCCTTTAGGGCCTTGATGATGGAGAAGTATGCGTGCAGCACGTGCAGCGTCTTGACGCCCGGGTGCAGCATGCGGTTCTGTGTGCAGCACAGCGTCAGTCCTCAGCACATTAATATGAGTCACTAAAAACATGAGTCACTATAAGCATAAGTCATGTGACAGAGCGTACTATCAGTGCGTCATGTAAAGAACTAATAACTACAATTGCAAAGAACTAATATTATTGATAATAAATATTATTGATAATAAACTAATAAATTGTAAAGAAGTAATAAGTACAGCACTCAGCGCTAGTATCTGAGATACGCTACCGGTAGATAGTTGTTCTTAAAGAGGTCAATTGGAGATGTTCTAGAGAAGGTCCCTAAGAGATGTTCTAGAGAAGGTCTCTAGGAGATGTTCTAGAGAAGGTCCCTAGGCTGTCTCTTATACACATCTAGATGTGTATAAGAGACAGCTCTAGGAGTTGTTCTAGAGAAGGTTCCTAGGAGTTGTTCTAGAGAAGGTCCCTAGGAGATGTTCTAGAGAAGGTCCCTAGGAGATGTTCTAGAGAAGGTCCCTAGCAGGGGACAGTGCACGTACCTGTATGCTGGCACGCAGGCTGGCCACCAGGTGCTGGTGCACGTCCACCACCTGCAGGCAGGATCGCAGGTCGGCGATGGCGTGCCGCGACTCAGGGTAGTCTGTAGAAAGCACGTTATTAAATTATAAATTTCTGGCTGAGCTACAATTGAAGCAGAGTAATGATTTATGTACCTCGATACGTTGTTGACGTCAGAACGTCAGAAGGCTGTAGTGGTCGTCTCTTTTACCCACAGCGGAACACTTTGCTTCGAGCGAGCCATATTATGCCAGCAGGATGGCCAGTGACCAGCCAACGGTCGCACAGTGCAGTGGCAAAGAGGTTGTGGGCACAGGCATCCTTGGTAAGCGTTTCGGACGTACGGTAACAGTCCCAGGCCACGGTGGACCGATACCTTCTGTATTTTGCCCTCAGTAGCCAGGTCATGCGTGCCATCAAGGCCCCATGGGCAGTGGGACATAACTGTACCGCCCTCACCTACAGCGATGGGGAAGTGGTTAGAGATTCTCACCTATGACGATGGGGAAGAGGTTGGGGACGCGGGTGTTGACGAAGGTGCGGATGAGGAGACCGTGGCAGGCACGGTACAGGGGGTGGGATGAGGTGGGTGAGGGGAGGAGTGGGTTGCTCACCACCCGCAACCAACCCACACCCGTAGCGGCGTACCACTGCAACAAAGAGGGCTTGAGTGGGCAGCAAATTTTGAATGGGCAACAGAGATGTCTCGAGTGGGTAGCAAATTTTGAGTAAGCGACAGAGAGGACTTGAGTGGGCAGCAAATTTTGAGTAGGCGACAGAGAGGACTTGAGTGGGCAGCAAATTTTGAGTGGGCAACAGTGAGGACTTGAGTGGGCAGCAATATTTGAGTGGGCAACAGTGAGGACTTGAGTGGGAGCAAATTTTGAATGGGCAACAGAGAGGACTTGAGTGGGCAGCAATATTTGAGTTGGCAACAGTGAGGACTTGAGTGGGCAGCAATATTTGAGTGGGCAACAGAGAGGACTTGGGTGGGCAGCAAATTTTGAATGGGCAACAGAGAGGACTTGGGTGGGCAGCAAATTTTGAGTGGGCAACAGTGAGGACTTGAGTGGGCAGCAAACTTTGAGTAGGTAGTTGGCTTGAGTGGATAGAACCTTACCCAGTTACAAAATATGCACATAGCCACACTAGCCTCACTTATGCCCAGTAGCCTCACTAGCCACACTCACCTTCAGCAGTGGCTGTAGTCTAGGGGCGTCGTGTGGCAAGGCGCAGGCGTCAGCCACAGCGCCACGCACGGCGGCCACAAGACGCGCCGCAGCCACAGAGCTGCAGAGCTCCTCCGCCACACCGACTTGCCACGTCACTCTGCGACACACACGTTAATTCAGATTATCAAATGATCAATATGCATTCAAAAACACATACTGAATAGTATACATTTTTGGTATTTTTGACTGTACTACGAGGGAACTCATATTCTCAAATTATCTTCACAATATGCATTCAAAAATACATACTGAATAATATACTTTTTTGGCCTTGTAGACTGTATTACAACCGAAAACGAGGCAACTACAATGGAATAATTTTACCTATACCTTTATAATATTTTATTTAGGAACGTTTAGAGTGGGCCTGGGAAGGTCAGAGCATTTAGTGTCATCCACCACATGCAAATCGGACACTAGAACATGAAGAGTTCTACAAATTGTTGCTTTAGGGTGACACTTACCAGGTACAGTACTCATTATTATTGACGATCAATGATTCAATGCAACAGATGAGTATTGACGTGTAGTTCAAACTAGACTAATCAGCCACAACAATCGATGAGTTAATAACATATTACTCATGTGAATGCTTTGACTCACTTATTTATTTCAGTGAATGTGTTGCTGAGGCTCAGGCAGTCACACTGCCCTCCTTCACTGAGACACCCCCCACACACCCCCTGGTCCCCTACGGCATCACCGCCCACTCCTGTAGAGGGGATTAGAATATACATACCCTGGGGGAATGGCATGGGTCAATAGTGTGGCTATATGGCATGGCTGAATTGAATAAATAGTATAGGTAATCCCGAGTGTAAATAGTAGAATAATATTGAATTGCTGGTATACTGCATAAAAGTTGAGAGCAGTTGAAAGTCATCAAGCAATGTTACTGGAGTGACATGACATGGGATTTGGTTTGATTTAAGTTTGTATCGGCCGAGGGCATCTCGAGCGCTAAGCCCGGACACACTGTTGCTAGGAGCGTGGCGACTTCAATGTAGGCTCAAGTTTGCAGAAAGACTGCGTTATGAGGATGCGAAATTCATGCCAAAATGTTTTCAGCCAAAAATTCACGCCAAAATGTTGTTCTTCAGTTGTAACCGTCACACCAGTTCGTTATGCAGTCTAGCTCCGCAGACATAGGTGAAGGCCGGACTGTTGGCCGGTGGGTCGAGAAATAATTGCCGTGCAAGGCTTCGTGTCATTAATAAGTCTTTTTCAAAGTAACGTCTAAAATTTACAAGTAACAGTCACTTCTTCTCCATATTAATAACATGGCCAACATCAACACTACGGCTGACTCACTTAGGTGGCTGAGGTGCAGGTGACTGTAGATGCGGAAGGCCACTTGGTAGATGGCACTGAGGGTACCAGCTGCAGCAGCTGGCATCTGGCTGTGCAGAGTTGCTCTCAGCTGCACCATCATCACCTCATGTAGACTGCTGCACGATGCTGCATCTGCACGCTCTGCACTCGTGTTGCAACAGCCCGAGTACTGCACGTTGCAGACGCTGCACAGCTCCTCGCACCTGTAATGCAGCACCACACGTCAAGGGTCTGCTGTGCAGCATTACACGTCAAGGGTCTGCTGTGCAGCATCACACGTCAGGGGTCTGCTGTGCAGCACCACACGTCAAGGGTCTGCTGTGCAGCATCACACGTCAGGGGTCTGCCGTGCAGCACCACACGTCAAGGGTCTGCTGTGCAGCATCACACGTCAGGGGTCTGCTGTGCAGCATCACACGTCAGGGGTCTGCTGTGCAGCATCACACGTCAAGGGTCTGCTGTGCAGCATCACACATCAGGGGTCTGCTGTGCAGCATCACACGTCAAGGGTCTGCTGTGCAGCATCACACGTCCTGTCTCTTATACACATCTAGATGTGTATAAGAGACAGGGTGGGGCAGTGTGGCAGGGCAGAGGTGGGGCAGTGTGGCAGGGCAGAGGTGCTGTCTCTTATACACATCTAGATGTGTATAAGAGACAGCTGCCACACTGCCCCACCTCTGCCCTGCCACACTGCGCCCACCTCTGCCCTGCCATACTGCCCCACCTCTGCCCTGCCACACTGCCCCACCTCTGCCCTGCCACACTGCGCCCTAGTTTTATACTCACCATCACTTGGGCGACGTATTATCCACTTAATTTCTCCAATTAATAACCTGTTGAATTTGATAACAAATGAAAATGTTATTTTATGATTGATTAAACTGAAATTTGGCCGAATATTCCAATTACTAATATGAAAGAGTTGAAACTGTCAACTAACAACTGGATAACCGATTCTACTGTTTCTTTGGTAACAGTTCAGAGCGTCAATTAGCTAAATGAACACTATCAAAACACGTGAAAATGACAATAGATTTACTGGTTAACCAGTTAGCAGATCAATTATGAAGTGAGCAACGTTTGCATAATTAGTTTAATCAATAGGAAGGATATAGAATAGCAGTTACAACACGTGTTACTTATAGCACGAGTAACACCCCGCCAGTTAGTCAGGCCAGTTGGAGCCTCAATGGCCAACTGGGCCACCTTTTAACTGTTCTCCCACACTCATGAGATAACACTGATTACAGCCACCTGACTTAGCCTCTAGCTGATAAGGGTCAACGATGCTGGACCCTAGTTATCTCCAAGGGTTAGCAACCCCTGCAGGGTTGCATGTAGGGGTTGCGGTAGCGTCACGGCTCCATCCTTATCTCGCTTATATTACTCTTATCTTGCGCCAGTCACACGATAGGCACAATGGCGATATGGGCACCAGATCTCAAAGGATGAATAAAATATAAGTAATTTATCCGTTGTATTTATAAACTGACATACACTAAGTTAATGATCTTATAAATTAGCGCAACGAAAAATAGAGATCGTATTGAGGGTCACGTGACCTTGAGGCACAGCTGGGGTGAGGCCACGTGACCTTGAGCCACAGCTGGGGTGAGGCCACGTGACCTTGAGCCACAGCTGGGGTGAGGCCACGTGACCTTGAGCCACAGCTGGGGTGAGGCCGCGTGACCTTGAGCCACAGCACGGGTGAGGCCACCTGACTTTCAGCCACAGCTGGGGGTGAGGCCACCTGACTTTCAGCCACAGCTGGGGTGAGGCCGCGTGACCTTGAGCCACAGCTGGGGTGAGGCCACGTGACCTTGAGCCACAGCTGCCCAATCTTACTTAATAGAAATAAGCAGAAGGGGAAGATCATTTCCTGGACCAGGGGCGCGTTAATGAATATATAGGGCAGTCCAGCAACCTTCATTATTAAGAACAAGCCAGCCCTTATTAAGAAGAGGCTAGCCCTCATTAAGAACAAGCCTGCCCTTATTAATGACAAGCCAGCCCTTATTAAGAACAAGCCAGCCCTCATTAAGAACAAGCCCGCCCTTATTAAGAACAAGTCAGCCCTTATTAAGATCAAGCCCGCCCTTATTAATGACAGACTAGCCCTTATTAAGGGTGTACTGGCCGTTGACCAGCAGTAGCTCGTGCTGCAGCACCTTGAGGTCGAGCAGCGCCTGCAGCTCCTCGACGCTGCACTCGACAGCCTCAGCAACAAACATGCGCAGCATGGCGTGGATGCGCTCCAGCGGCAGCGATGTCAGGTTAGTCAACATGCCCAGGATGTACGACCACACAACCTGCAGGTAACGAGATATTAATAAATGTCTAGGTAATAATGAATAATAATAATAATATATCATCCTGGGTCACGACCACACAACCTGCGGGGAGTAAGAGATATTAACAAATGTCTGAGTAATAATAACTGATATCATACTGTATCTCAACATTAAATATTTGGAAATTAATAGCGTAAAAAAGAGGGGGCGATTATAGTTTTGAGTTTAAAATATAATATAAAGAAAACTAACGGCGAGTGTTCAGCTACACCGCGTCACTGGAATTTGTGATACTACTGCCGCCGCGCCATACCATATACCAGGGCAGGCGTCATGGCGACGAGCCGGCCCACGGCCACATACTCCTGGTATCTTCCTCTCATGGAGGAGGTAATAGCTCTTTTCGGTTGGCGCTGACGTTGCCCATTACCTCTGCTGACAACTGCTGACCTTGCACCCATTACCTGCCACTGATGTCACCCATTACCTCCCACTGACGTCGCCCATTACCTCCCACTGACGTCACCCATTACCTCGAGGTCATGTCGCCCATTACCTCCCACTGACGTCACAGCACCACACGTCAGGGGTCTGCTGTGCAGCACCACACGTCAGGGGTCTGCTGTGCAGCATCACACGTCAGGGGTCTGCTGTGCAGCACCACACATCAGGGGTCTGCTGTGCAGCACCACACAAAAATATTATGTTTTCCATTATAGCATAATGAGTGAAACACTAAATTGCCTTCAAATATGTAAAACCTAACAAATTAAATTGTAATATGGGTAATAAAATAACAGAAATTGTTGAGTTTTGTAATGCAGGTAAATCTAGTGAAGCAAACCAGACAGCAACTGCCACAAGGTGCAGCAGAGCCTCGAGTAATTATAGTGAATCGAAGGTTCGCTCCTCAGCAATTGCCACGGCCCACTGACCTCATGATGAAGAGGCCATGGCCTATTCACCTTTTGATGAGAGGGGTGAGCACCACGACGGAGTTGTGCAGCAGCTTTAGGGCGTCAAGGCAGCAGGTGAGCAGGGCGCTGCTGGAGGCGAGGCTCCCATCGATGCACACCGCACGCCAGAACACAGGCACAATCTCTCTCCTGGTGGAGGTAAGTGCTCTCAACAACTGGCTATTTCTGTATTTTTCTGATCAAAATATTCAAAACTAAAATAATCAATGAAAGATCCAAAACTACCAACAAATAACTGAATACTACATAACATCATCAATAACCAAATAAATAGTTTCAATAAATAACCATGTAGGTGACAGAATGTCAATCAGTGTAACCATTTATGCATTCAAGTCAAAAAACACTAAAGCTTAGAGGTGCCATATATAGTACTATATTTGTCATTTTATACATGCATGGGAAAGATATTTGCTAATACCTGTATCAAATAAATACAGTAAGCCTTTTTAAAATAAATATTAGAGTAAAACACTAAAGCTTAGAGGTGCCATATTAACTATATTTGTCATTTTGTACATGCATGGGAAAGATATTTGCTAATATCTGTATCAAATAAAAACAGTAAATTGTTTTCAAATTAATACTAGAGTAAAAATACAGATGTAAGAAGAAAATATTTTACCGTAGAGCAGTCCAGACAGACTCCATGGCAAGATCCAGCACCATCTGTCCAGCATCCAGCTGCTTGATGAGCTCAAGAGCTGTCTTAGTGTCAGCCTCATCACTGGCATCCCACTGCCACAAGAAATAATTGATATTAGAAATAAAAGATTTGAAAGAGATAACTATGAGTATGATGCTATGAACCTCCTTAAATTACTAAATTTTCTGAAGTATTTTGAGGTAATGCATAGCTTTGTCTAATTGAATGTGCAACAAAGTATTGTTCAATATTGCTACATTTTTATAATACTTAAATTACAATATGGCTACTAGGAAACCTGAAAATATTTTAAAATCATGAAATAGTAGACTTTTGGACATATACCTAATGTCATATTGTAACAATATTGAAAATTTCTCCAAAAATATTTACATTTGTCATGAGTAAAAGTTTCAGCTAAGACAGCCAGTTTAAAAAAATACATCATGGCCAAACCAATAAATTTATTCTTATGTAAAGTCAGGTAAGACAAACCAGAATGACAACTGATAGAAAATGCCAACTTCAGACACCTTTTGCACCTGTGGATGACCAGCATAAAAGTGATTGGTTCTTAACACTCTGACTCTGATTGCTTAATCTTGTACTATTATTTCATTTTTTGTACTGTTTTTAACAGGGTTGCCAGAGGGGAGTTTTTTCCAGACAAATCCCGTGATTTAGTTTTTCTCAATTGCGTTGGCTGGCTAAAATTTATGATAGAGGTACTTCCTAATTAAATTTTAAATACTGCAAAAATAAAATAAATGGAATTTTTATAGCGGAACCTACAAATAAACTAGTACATATATATTGAGTTATTGGCCTTTTTGGCCATTTTTGTTCTTGGATTTGGCCAATTTTAGGCAACCTGAATTATGTACCACTACGTCCTGGAGAAATACATTTCGTGGTACACATATGTACCAATACATAGTCAACGTGTTAAAATATAACAATATGGAAAATATCTACTTTCCAAGATATTATGAGTTATCAGAGTAATAAGTTTATTAATGAGCAGCCATAATGATAAATTGTAGGGGATAAATTTTATTTTGCCATGAATCTATCTTTCAAGTTACAGACGACAAAAATTAAATTATAAAGAGGTTCATCTCATTTTCTCATATCACTAGTTTTAATCTAAAAATAAATTCAAAAAATTGCATTCACTCTACTGACACTAGAGGTAAATTAGCATGTTATAATAATTTCCTAAAATATTTAATAGTTTCATTTCATGAGTCACAATCTGGAATATTGGGAACAATTTTTGAAAAATCTTACATTGAAAGAATTTTTTCGCATGCAATTCTTAAAGCAACATCAAAAATTTGTCATTCATCTCAATTTTCATTATAAAAAAAGAGGAAAGGACATTAAATAAGGTTAAAAATAATTACAAACACCATTAGATTTTTCTTTTTTGCAGTTGGCTTCTGCCTAATTCTTTAGTTAGGTAAGAGACCAGATGTGCGGTGGTGATGACGTGTGGTGGTAGGTAGGTATGAGTTAGGCATGAGACCAGTCGTGTGGTGGTAGTTAGGTATGAGCTACTGAGCTAGTGAAAAAAATATCTACCTCTACTCTCTGAACCGTGACTGGATTTTTTGAGCAGTGGTTTTATGGATTTGCAAGCCTTGATTCTATTTCTTTGAGCCGCAAATTCCATATCCCAGCCATGCAGAGACATTTACAACCCACAAACTTATTTCCAAAGTCCTGTGCATGTGTTACCCCAAATCTCCAATTTTACCCTAGAAACAGCAACAATAACATTTACATTTGTCTTTATTTTAGAGGCAACTGAACCCATGATAATGCAGTCTGATGTGACCGCAACTAAGCAATCTCCAACAAAATCTTTTGGGTTGACTCGTTATGCTGGATATTTCAGCGAGAGTGTGGAACTAAGTACAGCAGAAGTTGAAAGCTTTATGAAATGACATGTTTGTGACTGTAAATTCTTCAATCAAACAAAAATACATTACATTAGAGGATCAAGATTTCATACCTGCTGGAAATTATATGATATTAGAGCTGCGATATTTCAGAAAAAAAGTTAAGACTTTTCCCAACTAGGGTATGAGTTAGGTATGGGACAAGTTGTCCAGTCATGTGGTGGTAGTTAGGTATGAGTTAGGTAGGGCACCAATCAGAACAACAACAAGCATTTGAAAACTAATATTTGCAAAGTACAAACTTTTAGATCAAAGTAAAATAAATGATTTTACAGCTGCAAGAGAAATGACACTTTTGAATCACAAAATTATGGAAAATCAGGATCTAAATTTTTAATATATAATCTTGGAACAGAACTTATTTATATGTAGATAACCCTATTAATATATACCTGCTCCTTGATTCTTTCTTATTTTTTGCTTATATTATAAAGATATTTACTAGCCTACTAATAGGACTCGGAAATAAACTCAAGGAAGGGCAACAAAAAATGTTCTACTTTGCCACTATTTCACTTCATACCTGATCAAAGGATCCATCAATGCAATACACAGAATTGATGACATCCCAGACAGCTTCATCATCCATGCCCATAGCTTCTAATAGCCAAGATTTTTCACTGTACTTTCAAAACTGTCCAAGTATTTTCAAAAGTATTATCATTATCATAGCAAAACATACTGAAAACTAAAATGAAAGTTACTAAATAACTCTTAACTTGGATAAGAAAGTTTGCCAGACATAAAACTTGGACTTCAACAAATACAAGTGGCAAACCTCAGGAGAATGAACAAAAAAGCCACTAAACAAGTTGAGGTTACTTATCATGGTATGATTGAAATAGAAGAACATGATTATTACAAATTCAATTTGAATACTTTATGGCCAAGAGGTATCACAAACAGATTTCAGGGCACATAAATTAATACCAAACTTGCAACATGTCTACAGTCTGCCTCCTGTGGAATTTTTTTTTTCATCGATTTCAAGACCTTGGGTATGAGAAGATTACACCTTGGACCTCCCAGTCTGAGCACAACTTGATTTCTATCTCAGTCTTTTCCTCTTGCCTCTGGTCATTTCACAGTTTAATTTCTAGCTCACTCTCAGCCGCCAGTGGTTGTTGTGTGAAATACGAGACACAAGAATTAGTTACTGCTTACTGGGCGTCTTCATAGGGTGTTCACCATGCTGCAGCTCAGCAGGTATTGTCCCAGCCAACAAATCACTGCTTTGCATATTTTCCAAGGGATATCTCCCTCACCAGGAGCTGATAGAAGGTTCCAACTCCAAGGTTGTGAAAGATTTTCCAAGTTTGAGCAAAATTCCCTCCTCTGCTTTGTATAGACAAAACATTGCAAGATGAAACAACTAATACTAATAGACTAATAGTGTCTTCTGTATTATGCCAGGATTATGGTGTCAGGGGCATGACCAAGAGATTATGGTGTCAGGGGCATGACCAAGAGATTATGGTGTCAGGGGCACTATTATGGTGTCAGGGGCATGACCAAGAGATGGATTTCTAGCTTCCTCTCAGACTGCACCCAGCAAGTCGTTGTAAAAATAAAAGGTGAGAGCTCCATCTATGGATCAGTTGAGTCATGAGTGCCCCAAGGTTCTGTTGTGGGGCCTACACTCTTCTTGATCTATATCAACGATGTGACGGAATCCAAGCCAAGGTTGGACTCTTCACAGACGACACCGTCCTTTACTCCCGCATCAGAAGCCCACATGATGTTGCTCTCCTGCAGGATGACCTCAACAAGCTGGAAGCCTGGGAACGCACTTGGCAGATGGCATTAAACATCGAGAAGTGCCACCTCCTCTCAGTAACAAGAGGTCCCCGATACCTTACAACTATGCCCTGCATGGTCAAACATTGTAATCTGTCAGGGACACCAAGCACCTTGGTGTTACCATCACCAAAAACCTGCATTGGAAGAACCATGTGTGTTCTGTCTCAGCAAAGGCCACAATGATAAGCGCTATCACCCACCAAAATCTGAAAGGATGCACCACGAACGTCCAGACCCACTGCTATAGCCTATAAGAGCATGGTCCGACCAATTTTGGAATACCCATTATCCGTGTGGGACCCGCACCAGCAGGGTCTTGTGTCTGCACTGGAGGCAGTCCAGCGCAGATCCTCAGCCCACACTCAAGCACTTCATTGATGGTGTCAAAATTAGGCCTCAAGCCACTTGTGCAGAGAAGAGTAGCCGGCAGAGCCTGCATGATGTATAAAATCATGCATAAAATGGTGGACATGAACGTCCCACCTGGTAGGCTTCAGCCGCTGTCAGAATCACCAGAGGTCACCATCAGAAGCTCATAGTGCCTCATGTAAGAACTGATGTATACCGCCATTCATTCTTCCCCTCCGGACTAGACTGTGGAACTCCCTCGCCCAGGAGAACGTGGCAGCTCCTGACCTGACTGCCTTCAAAGCAGCTGTGATGGCCTGGCAAGTGGAAACAGCAGTAGGGACAGAAGCCAATACTTATTTAATCTTGGGCTTTTTACTCTGTTCTTATGAACCAAATGCCTTATCTCATATGTGCCAATGTATGTGTGTGAGACTGTGAGTATGTATATGTATGTATTTGCTTGTGTGATTGTATATTTAATTTTTTAATTCAATGTGGAGCTTTTCCTCAAGCCATCAGGGAAACCACTTTTCTTCAGTAAATAAATAAGTATTGCATGTGGGGCACATACTGGAATTAGACATTGAAACAAGTCAAGTGGGAATGTGGGCCCTCACACCAGCATGGGCCTGCATGGCCAAGTTGAAAAGTCCAGATGGTATACTTATACATATGATATAGGGTAAATGCACCATATTCTGACACTGTGGGTAATTCCAATACCCCTCAACTTTTTCCTTTATATTAAGCTTGGTTTTAGTTCCACGCATGCGTAGATGGTTGAAATAGTGACATCATAGTCCAGGCTGTAATTCTAAGAATAGAAGTTCACTTATAAAAAAGCTTTCCACCCGAGATGAAAAGCTTTCCTTTGATACAGTGCTCTGCCAGGTGACTGATTATAAATGAAAAGGAAGATCAAAATGGACAAACTGTTTCAATTGTATAGTACATCAGATTTGTTATAGAATTATTTGGATGCAATAGTATGACGGTCATACTATTGCACACCAGATTTCCGCCAAACACCAGGTCTAGCAGGAAAATGTTAAGATCTGCAGAGCAAAAGTCCAAGTCAACTAGTGAGCACATCAAAACACTTTTGAAAGTTGACCTTGCTTTACTAAATAGTGATAAACTGTTTATGTAAAAGAATATTGTGGTTTGAGACTTTTAAATAAGTCTGTGAATATACTAGGAATCCTTTACCTAAGCTTTAGGTATACTTGTATTTGCTGATTTTAAGTGGTAAATAAATTAATAGATGATTGATTTAAGAGACAGTTTTGGACACATAAAAACTAATTCCGACACAGGGTGTTGGAATTACAAAACACAGGGTTTCGTTTACTGTTGTATTCTGACACAGCTCACACAGGGTGTCGGAATTACCGTCAATTACGAATTAAGATTTTGAAGCACTGTCGGAATTAGGGTAAATGCAGTATATTCCGACATTGTGGGTAATTCCATCACCTCTCTAGTTTTTCCTTTATAATAAGCTTTGTTTTAGTTCCATGCATTCGTTGATGGTTGAAATGGTGACATCATACATTTGCGTGTCAAACTACTGCCAAAACACTAGGTCTTGGTCATCTAGCGGGAAAATATTGAGATCCAAAGAGAGACGATGCACACTACCCAGTGAGATCATCGAAAAATGTGTCAAATTTGACAGTTGACCTTGCTCTACCAAATAGTGAATAACTGTTTGTATAGGAAGAATATTATGGTTTGAGACTTTTAAATACGTCTGTGAATATATTAGGAATCCTCTAAGTATACTTGTATTCGCTGATTTCAAGTGGTAAATAAATTAATAGATGATTAAGATGAGAAATGGATTTAGACACATGAAAACTAATTCCATCAAAACTTGAATTGGACACACACAGATCGTTCCAAGCTGTGTACAAAAATTAAAATTTGCTTAATTAAAAGCTTAATAGTTGTTAATTAAAAGCATAATTAAGTAGTGTTCAATATTCATTAGTGAATAAGTAAGTAGTTATTCAATATTCATTCCAATACAGCTCACACAGGCTCACAGCAAACGGAATTCGAACACGTGGATGGTGGATGACGGCATTACGTATCAGTAGAATTTGAAGCGCGGACAGAATACGCCTCACCACGTGCCGAATATTGCCACACACAGTGACGGAATATCGGGATTTGGTAGGTTTCCATTCTAAAGGCTTTTAAATAAATATGGCAACATTTTGTGACATTTCGTTGTTGCTGACACGTAGTGCGGTGTTTTGAGAGTCACATAAAGCAAACAGAACTTGAGTAACGCATACGGTTATTTTTTTATAGTTTTTCATTTCTCGATGCATCCTTAATGTGACGGAATATACCGCATTTACCCTAGTCTCACAATATGCCGCATTTAGTCACACACACATTGCTGGTGCGTACTGCATAGTGTGGTATTTTGAGAGTGACATAAACCAATCAGAACTCAAGTTGCAGCTGTTGCGCATACAGATACGGTGATCTATTTATAGCTTTTTGTTTCTTGCTACATCCTTAAGGTGTCACTGTGTTGGAATATGGTGCGTTTACCATATACAAAAAAGTATACATTACACAATACACACAAACATATGATATACATACATTCATTTCAAGCACCATTTCAATTTTGACAACCTATCTGCAGTATCTGGTGTTCACTAGGCACACCTGACTTCAAAATGTATACTGTCAAAAATTGAAAGATTTTTCTTTGCTCATCAGCATTGTTGTTAACTTCACAGTCTCCAGCCTCTGCTCTCCTCAAGACCCCAGAGAGAGGCCTCTGCAGACTCTGCTCTCTCCAGTTTGTGTTTGTGCAGAGAAATTTGTACGTCTATACATCTTAGATTAGTTTTCAGCTCTTGTCTAGGGCCTAGGCTGCGCATGACGCTGAGTCGCTGACAATGCAGCAGCCAGAGGCTCAATCGTGTCATTCGTAATCCGTAATCGTGTCATTCGTGTGTAGTGTTCAGTGTTGTACGTAGGCGGTAGGGTAGGCAGAGCGTAGCACATTGATCAGATCAGACTGATCAGATTCAGAGGCGCTCATGTAATCATGTTGAATCTATGTCGATGGCTTCTGACACCGGCATGTCCAATTATGAGTCGGACACTCCAGTCTGCGGGACTTTAGGCAGAGCCAGGGTTGCAGTCTGGGTTCATCTATGATGTTGCTTAAAACGTTCCCTTCTGCCTTCTGGGTGACTCCCAATCTCTGTTTTGAAATCGATTACGGATTACTGTAAATAATCCGCTTTCAAAATACTTTACGATTTCCGTGACAATTGGGAAATATTTGATGTAATTTGTATACTCTATTAGTTGATATAAATTCTGCTGTAAACATCGTTTGCGTCATTGATAATAATATTGCTGTTCAACTTCGCACTAGAATTGAAATATTAACGCAAATGTCTCACGACGGCAACGTCAGTATACGGAATACCGACATTTTTGATGTTCAGTTCCACTATTCTTAATTCTGTGCATTTTAAAAAAGTAAATAAAATTATATGAATAGCATTTCTTTTTATTCTGTTATTGCTAGAGGCCTAAGCGAACCGAATCGACACTTCTCCGAACTCGCGGACTCAAGCGCAAAACCCATTTACACGCGCAACTTAGCCAGTCGTTAAGTCCTTCAGTACGGAACTGTCCGAACGGATTCGCTTGAA